CGTAAACACGTTGAATCAATAATTTTATATGAACATACTCATTAAGTAGAATATAATTTGAAATGTAATATTTAATTAAATATAAAAAAAAGTAATGGACAAATTTTTAATATGATGAATAGTATTATCTCAAATAAAGTCTCCAATTGTACAAGATGCGCATGTATGTTAACAGAAATATAGTTATAAAGGTTTCTTGTCACTAGCTACACTTTGTACAAAAGTGTACACTATGGGTATTTTCGACGTCGTCGTTCGTACCGATCAGTTGAAAAGAAAAAGGTGCTTATTTGAGACTATTTAGGTTAAACTAAATAGTCTCAAATAAAAAGTTTGAGTACATTTATGTGGCAACTGACCAGTACGACAGACGACGTCGAAAACACCCTATGGCGTTCTCGTTATCAAAAGTGACGTAATAATGTACACGTAACTTCCTAGTAGCCTCTGCAATTTTCACTATTTTATTACACCCAATTGCGAGCTTTTGTAAATTGAGTTTTCTAATTAAAATGGCGGTAAATGGACATTTTATTTAAAATTAATTAATTATTTTATGAACATAAAGTTATAATATATTTCTTATTAAATTTTAATTTATAAAGTTATTAGTAAACAATTCTTATTTTGTTAGTATTTATATTAAGTACCACCATATAAACAATTACAATTGTAAAGTAATTTTTAAATAATTATTCTCCCATTTATTGAAACTAATTTTTATTTACAGTGAATTTAAAAAAAAATTTACATTTTATGATGGTAAACATATTTTTTAAAGAATAATAGAATTTATGAAAAAAATTAAGTTTGAAACATAACCTTTAAAATATTTCAAAAAAAAGTCGATTAAGTTTTCTTAAAACTTATGTGAAAATATATAGGTTAAGAATTCTTTAGTTTTATTATCTTTAAACATTATAATGAGCAATTCGGTTAAAATTAAGAAATTAATTAAATTTTACAAAGATGTCATAGTTTAAAATGTGTAAAAATTTGAAAAAATAAATTACGCTCGGTACTTACATTTAACATTTGAAATTTTTGTAAAATTTAATTAATATATCAAATTTCCATGAATTGCCCATTAAAATGTTTACAAGAAATAATAGGAATAAATCATATTATTTAAAAAAAAATGTTACCATCATAAAAGTGAGAAATTTTTATTTTAAAATCACTAATAGGAAATAAATTTTGGCTTTAATAAATGGAAAAAATAATTATTTAAAAAATTGCTTAACAATGGCAATTATGTAAAAGGTGGTTTTGGTTTTAAATTACAGATTGTATGCAATTTAAAATTATTTATTTATCTTTTTTTAGTGAAATTTCTCAACACTTTTGCGTTCTCGCTAGATTTTGTACTTTGTTCAAGTCCGCATGCTCCGTTTCAAACTCTCACTACACACTGTAGTGTAGCGGTGTAGTTAGCGAGAACAAATCTATACTAAAGTATGCTTTAGTGTATATATGTATATCTATGAACATCAATGAGCAAATTTATTTTATTCGAAACTAAAGTTTAAGGAATAAGTAAAGTAGCAACTCCCAGCAAATAGTAATGTTCCACCACCAATGTGGTTTTCTATCCACTTGGCAAATTTAAAAAAAGGCTTTTTTAAAAAAACGTTGTAGGGGTCATTGGTTATGTGTTGGTGACCTTCTAGTGCATAATAGAAAGTCAATTTAACCCCCGTTCTATTGCAGAACATGAAGAAAAGACGGGGGATGCATACTTCGCCCGCCTCTGTTCTCCCGTAATTAGTGAAAACTTTGTTAAATCACTGTTTTTTGAAAAATAATTTTTTTATATCAATGAATTCGTGGAAAAAAATGCATATACTCATGCAGGGTTATTAAAAAATTTTATTTTAATTATTTATTGCAAAAAATAATTATTAAAAATATGCGAAATTCGAGAAAATAAGGAAATACTTGAGAAAAAGGAATAGTAACTCGAGTTATATTGTAAAAATCGTAGAAGGCAATTAGCTGGAGCATAAGATAGGAAACAAAAACTTAGTCAAGTCGACATAATATTTCTGCTATCAAAAACATAGTGCAAACTCAACTTTCGTTTCGAAGCATAAAGCTTAAGTCGAGTTAACTTAATTGTTCTTTCGAAAAGTGGCATGAACAAGACACTGTGTTTCGAAAGCAGACTCCTTAAAAGTCTTAAGACTCCATATCAAGTTTGAAGTTAAATAAGTTCTTCCTTCTGATCGGCGGCCTGAACTCGAATACCTTTTCGCTGAGCACTCCTTTAGTAATTTTAACTAAATTTTGCTTTTAAAAAATAACACTTAAGTCCATTTTTTAATATAATTTCTTTAAATAATTAATTTTTGACTACAGAATTAAAAAGAACTCTATCAACTTATCTAGCAAGTAAAGTTAAATTAAATAATTTTTTATACTATATCAGGTTTGTTAATAAAAACTGTTTTTCGCCATTTTCTCGGTTTCACTAAAATATGACTTAACAAAGTTTTTACCAAGCACGGCAGTGTTGTTTCCCCTCAACTGGGTACATTGAAAAAGGCTTTTTTAAAAAACATTGAAGAGGGCTAATGTCTTGGTTGATTACCTTCTAATATCAATTATAAAGTAAATTTGACCACTAAACTATTACAGAACTAAAGGAAAACAAATTAGAGCCTTAATGCAAAAAACAAATATATTAATTTAAGATATATTGGTAGTCATTTCTAAGATATTTTGGTAGACACTTTTTAGTTACTTAAAACATTTTAATTTAAGATGTTAAAAGTATTTTCTTACACATCTTTTATAAATTTTTGGGACAAAATGTTTTGAAGTTAAATATGAGCTATTATGGAAAACACTTTATGTACAAGTAATATAAAATTAGACTATTAATCTGCTAGTAAATAATGTATGATTAATTATTAAAAATTAATTTTTATATTCAATATGGTCGAAAATAAAAAAATTTAAAGTAACTTTATAAAAACTTTATGATCGTTTAAATTTCATATTACCAAAGTTAACATTTTTGTAAATTTTGACAAGAGAAGCCGTTAAATCTCTGACAAATGACTAAACAGTTTATATGGTCATTATTTCTGATTATTACTTATGACAAGTCACTGGCCAGAAATTCTTATTAAAATCGGAGTATAAATGAGGTGCTGATAGTAAAAATGGTTTAAAAAAACATTGGGAGTAAAAGTGAGATAAGTTACTTGTGAGTAAAAACGAGTTAAAATGATTTTGTAATTAATGGATAAATTAATTTTAATTCATGGTCAAAAACTATTAACTATCTATTAACTGTAGGTGATTGGAAAAACGCACATGCCTTGGAATTTGCAGAATTAGATCACACACACGGAAAAGTTCTTGGGCGAGTCGCTGTACCTGTTGTGGTGGCGCTGAGTGACCAGTACCTATGGTAAAGTGACAGCCCCATTTTGGTAGCTCATTTCACCCACAGAGACTGCTGCTTTCCTACTGTGGGGCGTCAGAGCTCTCTTGTGGGGCATCAGAGCTCTCTTTAGAGAGAAAGCAGAAAACCTTTTCTGTGGGAGGCGAGTGAGAGACGTCTGCTCGCCCAAAAACTTTTCCGTGCATATGAGTGATTATATTTTATTCTACATTTTGAGCAGAAAACTGTTGAGTTAATGGTCAGTTATTTCACAATTACCGAACAAATAATATAAGCTGCAAGTGCTAAAACAGCGCGTAAAATTACCTTTTAATTACTTGCCACATTTCATGTAAAATTATTGAACAAAATGTAGAAAAAAAAATTACATTTGACTGGTCCTTATAGAGTTGAAATTTCTATATGGGATGTTGCATAAGAGAAATATAAACTTTTTTTTTAAGTGAGATAATACTTACTTTAATAGGGGTCAGTTCAAAAAATACGTAACGCTATTTTTCGGAAATTTGGACCCCCCCTCCCCCCATGTAACGCAATGTGATATACATTAACGCCAATTTTTCTGCTGACCGTAACAAATAGCTTGACCCCCAATCCCCCCTAAAGCGTTACGTATTTTTTGAACGGCCCCTAGATTATTAAAGCATGGAGGAAAAAAGAATTATGTAATGCGTCAAAACTAATTTTAAATGGTTGGATAGAATAAAGGCAAAATAAAAATATGATGAAAAAAAAAAAATGATGACAATAGACAATATACAAACATTTCCCATTGATTATAATCAAAGAAAAAATTTGATTCTATTAGGAAAAAATGCACTTAAAAAAAAAATTTCTTATTTTTAAACTTTTTTTTACATATAAACAAAGTTTAAATTTAATTTTTTTTAAAACATTAAGAACTTAAATTTAAAATTTTCCAATATTTTGAAAAAAATTTAAATTGTATAGTTCTGAGAGTTGTTATTAAAGTACTGCAATTGTCATAAAGAGTTCTATAAGTATTTGTAATGACATTTTGTTACAAATATAAAATAAGTAAAATATATATATTATATATATATTATATATATAAATTTTCAAAATTTTTGGCGGCCATTTTTAATGAAAAATTATTTATTTTGAAAATCTGACTTCAAAAACGTGATCAACGACAACAAAAACCCCCGAGTAAGAATTTTTGCGAATATACATTAAGTTGTTTTCTTGTTTGGGCCATGACGTGTATACACGTCATCCACTGTTTGGGCCAGTTTTTTTCATGACGTGTATACACGTCATCCACAGTCAATGGGTTAAATAACTTTTGTTTTCCTCATTGCAAAATATAATCATTTTCTATACATTTCGACAATTTACTACTCAAAACACATGCCTAAAAGGCATTTAATTTAAACATAATTAAAAATTTATTATGAATCTTCAAAGATTAATTAATATTAATTTATGAAAGTTATTATTTTGGTAATTGCTAAAAAATTATACATAAATTTATTAATTAATTGTAAATTTTATTTTATTTTTCATCAGTGATTTTTGTATTTACAGAAATTATCGTAACGTAACGAGAAACAATTTCTATTATATCTTATCTTTCATTTCCCATTGGATAATGAAGATTATCCATCTACAAAAAATGAAATAAAACATATTAAAATAATTCAATAATAAATAAATTTAGAAATATAAATTTTAATTTTAATAATTTGTAAATAAAAATTATTATTTAAAAAAAAAGTTTGAAAATATTTTTAAAAAATAATTAAAATAAAATGAAACAGTCGTGTAAAGTTGGCACTACTTTTTTAAAAAATAACAAATTTTACAAGAGTTCTACGCACTTTAGCAATAGTTCTAGAGTTCTGTAACGATTATTTAAATAGTTCTGATGATTAACAATAAAAAAAAGCGACAATGGAAAATTATAGTGCTAACTTATCATAGCACTATGATTTTTGAAAAATTGAGTTCTGAACTAATATTCTGAAAGAGAATAAAGAGTTCTAGAGTTCTGTTAAAAAGAAAGAAGAGTTCTGCAATATTTAAAAAGTTATTAACAAATTTAAAAAAGTTATGGAAAATAATATTTAACAGGTTCTGAATAGAGTTCTGACATTGTTGCGAAGAGTTCTAGAAGTATTTCTAATAACATTTTTGTTTTAACATTCAAAATCGAAAATTGACAGAATTCTTTTTAGAAATCTGAATTTATAAATTTTCAATTTGTTTAACTATTTTAAAGTAATGAAACTTTTTTGATTTTGGATTTAGAACAAAATGTCATTAGAAATACTAATAGAACTCTTTATGAGGATGCAAATACTCTAATAAGAATTCTCAGAACTATAAATTTTTAATTTTTTGGAATTATTAAATTCCTTTAATTTTTTTTAATTTTGGATTTGGAATAAAATATCATTAGAAATACTTATATAATTCTTTATGACGATGCCCGAACTGTAATCAAAACTCTCCGACCTATTAATTTTAAAATTTTGAAAATTTAGGAAAATTTCAAAATCCTGTAACTTTTTTAATTTAGAAAAAAATGTTCTTTAAGATGTCATTCTAAACATCTTAAACTCTTCGCAACGATGCCGGAACTCTATTTAGAACTAGCAAAATATTATTTTCATAACTGTTTTTAATTTGTTAATAATTTTTGAAATTTTGCAGAAATCTTTTTTTTTTTGTAGAGAACTGTAGAACTCTTTATTCTCTTTCAGAATATTAGTTCAGAACTCTTTTTTCAAAAATCATAGTGCTATGATAAGTTAGCACTATCATTTTTCATTGTCGCTTTTTTTATTGTTAATCATCAGAACTATTTAAATAATTGTTAGAAAACTCTAGAAATATTGGTAAAATACCAAGAACTCTTGTAAAATTTTTGATTTTTTAAAAAAGTAGTGCTAACTTTACACGACTAAATGAAACTTAATTGATTAAAATTAAATGTAAAATTCTAATTAGAATTATAAATCTGAAAATATTAAATGAATAAACATTTTCTCAAAAAAGAAATTAAGTCAATAAAAATGGTAGCAACTTACATCAACCACATCCTCTTCATTCTCTTCTTGTTCGTTTGAATCTTCCTCATGAGTGTAACGAGAAAAAATTTCTATTATATCTTCTCTTTCATTTCCCATTGGATAATGAAGATTATCCATCTACAAAAAATGAAATAAAACATATTAAAATAATTCAATAATAAATAAATTTAGAAATATAAATTTTAATTTTAATAATTTGTAAATAAAAATTATTATTTAAAAAAAAAATTTTTGAAAATATTTTTAAAAAATAATGAAAATGAAATGAAACTTAATTGCTTAAAATTAAATGTAAAATTCAAATTAGAATTATAAATCTGAAAATATTAAATGAATAAACATTTTCTCAAAAGAAATTAAGTAAATAAACATGGTAGCAACTTACATCAACCACATCCTCTGCATTCTCTTCTTGTTCATTTGAATCTTCCTCATGAGTGTAACGAGAAACACTTTCTATTATATCTTCTCTTTCATTTTCCATTTGGTAATCAAGATTATCCATCTACAAAAATTGAATTAAAAAATAAAGTAAATTAATAATGAAATACATATAGTTTATAAGTTATATAAAAAATTGTATAAATAATTAATTAAAAAAATAACAAAAATTAAAAGAATAATCTAAGAATTTTATAATTTTTTATCGGCCATTTTGAAAGAAAAACAAAACAGTAAACACTTATTATGATAATAAAAGTTATGTATTATTATTAAGTATAGAAACAAACGAAATAGTTACAATGATATTAATAGAAATTGTTCAAAAATTATAAAAAATAAAAATCAATTAAATAATTATTACTTACTTCAATTATATTATCATAAAATTCTGACACGTAAGAATTGCAATGACGCTTATAAAAGTTCCAAACAAACTTTTAGTCGCAGGGTTGGGATATTAGACGTAAAATAAAAACAAATAGAACTAAAGGTTCGTTCACATGTGAAAAAAATATTGGTGATTTAAAATTATAATGTGACAAACAGCGACACACAGTAGCTAAGGTAAAAACACTAGAACATGGACAGCGCCAAAAATGTAACCAATAGATGAACAGTAACAAAAAGAATTGAAACTTCTTTAAATTTTATAGCGAATTCGGTTATCTGCTCCGAGAGCGATCTTGCTCGGTGTAGGAGTATAGTTTACTCTGCTCTCAAAAAGCTGTGCTCTACTCTGAGGCACTCTATGACGTCATGAACACTGTAAAAGTTCGACTGTTTTTGGAGCAGGAGTACAACATGAACTGCTATGGTGTAAAGCATACACTGCTCGTTTGGCGCGAAGTTTAAATTTAATTAAACTTATATTATATAATGTAATATAATATTATATTTATTATATTATAAGAAGAAAATATATTGCATAATATATTATGCAATATATTTTTTTCTTAAATGTAAAATTATTTTACTTAAAATTAAATATTTTATGATGTAGACGTAAATAATATTTTTAAAAGCAAAAAATTTGATAGTTTTATTAGAATATTAAAATTTTATTCGGTCAATGTTTTGATATAGCAGAATTGTTAATCACAAAATTATCGAATAATATTTCTGATATAAATTTTGTTTACACTATTTGACATTTTGAACTACTAACAACAACAATAATAAAATAAGTGAAAAGGTTATTTCTTTGAGACCAAATAATTACTTTATAATGAGTATTTTTATTTAAATATTAAAAATATTGAAAATTATTTACTGTTTTTATTAAATATTAAAATATTCAATGTTAGTCTTTCTCTAAATACAAAATTCATTATAAAAAACATAATTATAATAAAATTATAATAAAACTGTAATAATTGTAAAGTATAATAAATTGTTTTGGACATAAATATTTTAAAAATTGTAATTTTTAATCGTCAACGTTAACAATTTATTGTCCCTCTTCAAAATTATTTAATCGTCAAAAATTCTTAGATTATTATTATTAGTATTATTAACATTTTCATTTTGACCATCAAAATTTTCATCATAAATAACTAGTTCGTCTGATTGTTCATCTTCTGTTGCATCAAGTTCGTCTAATGGTTCATCTTCTGTTAAATCAATTGTGTCATCATTATTATTGTTGTCATTAATACCATTATCCTCATTAGCATCAAATACATCATCCTCATCACTGTCATAATCAATGAAAATATCCCCATTGTCAAAATCGTCAGTATCATAATTGTCATCTGAAAAAGTAACTAAATCAAATAAACTGTCCTCATCATCCTCTTCAAAGTTGTTTAATGAAATTCTTCTCGATTGATTATTATCCTAAAATGTAAAAAAAAAACAAAAATGTAATGAAATGAAAACCATTTTATATTTTACAAATATTATAAATTTCAAATAAATAAAAATTAATTGAATAATTCGTAAGACAAATATTATATAAGTAAATATGTATTTTATTTCTGATGTATTTAAAAAGTATATATTATTAATGTTTAAAAATATTTTTAAATTTATTTATTTCTATTTTGAGGAAGAAGGATTAAAAAATTTTGTTTTTCTTTTATAATTATAATTACAGAAAAAAAATGAACAATAATCGCTCTTATGAATTAAAGTTTAATAATAAAGAAAAATATGTCAAAATAAAAGTTTACGACTTATTCCTTCTTAAAATAAAAACAAAATAAATTTACAAATATTATAAATAAATAATGATAGATATTTACATACAAGATAAACAAATTATTTATATAATTTAGTGCAGTGTGGAAAAAAATAGCAATAAAGAAATATGTCAACATCTGAGGAAAGTAAAAATAAGAAGAAAATAATTTGAGGTTAGGTTTTTTTTTTAAATTTATATTTGGAAATACAGAAAGAAAATAAATAAATTAATTCCTATAATTACAAATTAAAAAATTTTAATCAAGATAAATATAACACGAATCCAAAATATAATTCGTTTATTTCTTAGGTTATTTTCTTTGTTGCCATTTACAAATAATAGTTTAATACTTATTTATCAATATATTTGTACAAAGAATTATTTATAATAATTAAAATTTTAATGGATATATTATATTTAAAGTAATAAAGTTGAATGCTTTATTTAAAATAAATATTAATTTACTTACTTCCATTTTGATTTGTTTAAAAGAATTTTTTTATTGTAAAGGAGAAAAGAAAATTATTATTTTATTTTACTTTACAATTGACAAATGAAGGGTACATTCACACGATAAGGATTAGTAGCTTCCTTAAGGACAGTTCACACTTTCTGTAAAACTTGTCAAGAAAGGAAAATAGAATAGTGTAATAGATTTGACCAATCAGAATTAGTTTTTAAAAAAATCCAGTGATTTGGTTGTTAAAAAAAATGATCCAATATTCTACCCACATTGGATTGCACTGTAAGAGAAACAGAAAAAGAGTCTGTCATTCTATACCTCCGGTGAATTGGTCAAGCAATCGGCTCGATGAATTTTCACGGTGGGAAAATGTACTTTTATGGCGGGTATTTTTGAATAAGTAAATGTTGAAAAGGTTGTATGTTACCAAAATGCTGTATTATACTGTAAAAAAAATGTCATAAACGTATAAAAATATCAAAGCTGGGCAACTCTTGACTGTAAAAAGTGTGTTTTTAAAATTTACACATTGATTTGTAAAATATTAATAGAAATGACGTATGAATTTACATAAATTTTTAAAAAACTTGATTGTTCCAATAATGTAATTGTAATATATTTCATTAATTTCAATAAAAAAATGTAATTTTTAAAAAAAAGAGAGACACTGAACATAAAGTTACACGCGAACAACGTGTAAGTTTTAAATATACATATAAAAAATTAATTTTATAAAGAATAGTAGCATGAGAAAAATTAAGAAAAAATGTATTTTATTCAACTAACATAAAATTCATAAATAGTACTAAATTAAAATTTAAATAATTAAATGGTATTAAAAAAAGAAACAAACAAAATTTGAAAAACCAATATTATATTTCACATAAATACTTTCTACATATTACAAAAAGTAAATTATACATCAAGATGTATTAGAAGATCGTCATCAGAATCATCATTCAAAAAAGCTGTAAAAAAATTATTATTAATAGTATATTAATTAATAATAATACATATGGGGCTAATTTGTGCATTAAAAGGGAATAACTTTGAATACAAAAAAATGAACAATAATTGTAATTGTTTTAAAATTAATTTTAAATCTATTCAGGAAATTAAATTTAAAAAATTTTTAAAAATGTATGTAAATATGAATTTAATAGGTATCTATCTATCTATCTATCTATCTATCTATCTATCTATCTATCTATCTATTTAATTCTATTTAAATTTAAAAATAATTATTTTTTACTACATGCAAAATTTTATACAAAAATTAATACAACTTTATAAAATATTGCTTGCAAAAATTTCTTTACAATAACGCTATTTTATGGAAAAAAAATGAAATGAAATTAATGGTACATAAAATAGAGAAAAATGTATTACCTTCTTTCAATTTATTGTGATTCTCATCTTCAGTTATATCATTTAAATGAAAAATAACTTCATTCAGTTGATTAGAAATCAATTCAAAATTTCTAATAACAATAACTGTCAAGCATTTGTACCTGAAAAAAAAGAAATAATAAATAAATAAAGAAATAAAAAATTAAAATTAATTTATATATAATTATTTGTGAAAATAAAAATATTTACCAATGAGGATATTTAACCTTATCATAAAAAACGGTTTGTTGACAAATTTCATAAGCCTTTAACTTAATGACATCATATTTTTTATAAGATGCTCATCAATGACAGCATTTATAGTAGTTTGAAGAAAAAATTCAGGTGTGTATTTCTTTTAAACATATTGAATTATACATATATATTATACTAACGTATTTGAAATACGTATTCATACAATCTCTTCATATTATTGCATTATATTCAATATATTTAATAAGAAGGTAATTGTCATTATAAATTTGATATGTATTTAAACAAACTTATAAATTATAACAAATCCAAGAAAGATGGGTAATACTTTTCATGTAAAAAGAATAACGATAATCCATCAAACAGATTAATATAATCCCATAATCATTGGAGTGTATAAAACAAGCAGGCAGGTGTCTAATTTCTGGAAACTGAACTGAGAGGTACAACGGTCGCCCCTCAGCCCCCCTTAAACTATCGCTCTGGATTGCAACCTAGCAGCCACAAAAGAGAGAGACAACAGTCGCCCAGCAGTCACAACTGAGAGAGAAAAATAATCACTCCTCACGCCTCTTAGACAGTCATCACGGCATTGCAGCTAGTCGCTCCAACCCCCCTTAAAATCCAACCAACATCGACACGTGTATGATTCCAAAGAATTGATGAAGACAGTTTTATATAAAAGGGGATATGAGTTCTACTCAGATCAGAGAGTAGTTTTTTAGAAATCAACTTGAACACATCGCTTAGTAGAAGAGAGTAATTTTTTGGGAATCAACCAGTTTACATCGTGCGGTCAACGTTAACACATCACATAGTTTACAAGTGAATTCAAAGTGCATCTTTGAAAGTGAACAGTATATCTTCAAGTATTCTTTTCAAAGTGCATTGTTCGAAAGTGAACAATATATCCTCATGTGTTAAAATTGAAGTGAACTGTAAATCAACCTTTTATTATACACCAATTTGCAAAATATAAATTTTAAACAATTTCCAAAATTATTAAATTGGAAATAATCTCAACAATCAAAGATCTAATATTGAAACAACACATTCCAAATTTCGAACCATCGAAATTTGCTCAAGAGGCGACAACCGTCTGGAAGAAAGCAGATATTTTCAAAATACAATACACTATCTCATTAGTGTAAACAAGAGGATTAATACCCAACCATTAAGGACAACAAGCAGAAGGCCCCTTTTCGTCTAGTGCTCAACACCATTGAGATTAAACAGGAGATTATCATCACACCACCAGTAATCGTTATTCTTTAAGTAAGATTCATAATTTTGTACTCATTGTAATTTTGTCAACTCTTTTCTTTCTTGTTGGTTTTTAAATAAATTATTCTCTCACATTTAGTAGGCTCATTGACTTATCCTCATCCCAAATTAGATTCATTTATGAAATTAATTTAAAACGAGGAACGCTAGGTATATTTAAAAAGGTTTCTCGTTTTGACGTAACAATAGAAAGAAAAAATATATATAAAAACCTAAGCACAACTTGTTCGGTTTCGGGATATGTACATTGTAAAAATAAATTTTTTTGTAATTTCACAGGCTGCATATACGAAAAAAAAATTCTAAGCTGAGTGTGTCATTTTAACATGACACAGTAACTTGACATTAACATTATGTGAATTAACAAGCAAATTGTAAAATTAAAAAAATGAAGAAATTTATTAAAATTAAATTATAAACAATGTTAATTTACAGAATAATGATAAAATACAAAAAATGTGTACATTTTCTAAGAAATAAATGAATTTACATTAAAATTTAAATGTATGGAAAAATTTGAATTTACTATCGAAATAAGTATTTTACATAAAAATGTAAATTTAAATAAATATTTTTAAGAATGTATGGTTAATAGGTATATAATATAAATGACCCAGTGAATAGCTGAAATATATACCAAATGGTTAAACTTGAAATAATTTATATGCTTAGTTAAATTTAAAAAAATTCGACGCCACAATTCAATCAAACTTTAAATTTGACAAATCATATTGTTTTCATTATTTAGAGAATATAATATAAATTTTGCAGCGACAATTAAAATGACTATTAAAAAAAAGTAAATATACAAAATATTATATTTCTAACATCAAAATCATTATATTATAATACTGAATGCAGTGAAATCACATAATGTTGTAAAATAATTTGTACAAACTTGTGTAATTATATTGATCAAATTTTGAAATTCAGACATTTGTTGAAAAAGTGTAAGATTTACACATACATTTTGAGGTTATGAAGACCATATCCAGAAGTCGACTCCTGCACCCGATTCAGTTATGCAAATGGGATTATTTAGGCGGTGTCAAAGTACATTGGATTTTCGCATTAAAGAACAATGAAAAAATTCAATCCACTTTGACACCGCCTTAAGAAATAATTATGAAAAAACTAACCTCTATAACGCATCTTGAAAGTTTTGGTTCCATTATTGTGACTTTTGGTTCTTGTAGAAAAGAAAATAATAATTATTTCTTATTAATTTTATTGTTATTCTTCTTTTAAAGATAACTAATGTTAATAACTAATAAAAAATGTATTCGACAAATTTTTATAAACGTTATATTTAAGTTATAGAGAAAGAGACATAAATAAATAGTACGGTAAATAGGGGATCACACATATCAACAATGAAGATGAAAAAAAGTTAAAAATCTGTAACGAATGTTTCTAGGAAGATATAAGATATTATTACCTATGAATTTGGAAAACTCATTTTTTATGATAAATACAGATGATAATTATTTTATTTGTTGTAATTATTTGTAAAAAATTATTGTTAGAAATTTAAATGTGGGCAGTTTCTAAAGGGCGAAACTGCAACAACATTTTCTTGAAAACAATTTTTAAAAAAATAATTTTTCCATTAGGCTAACTTCGTTTTAATAAAAAATACACATAATGAAATTCATTACATATTAAAAAAAAAATTTAATTCATATAAACTGTTTTGTATAGAAATTTACCACCAAAAGAATAAATTTGACAGCTTTTAGTAGTTAATAAAACCAAGAGTTGGCGACAAAAGTTAAAAAACTGGCAAATTTGGATTATTTTGAATTTTAAATTAACAACAATAAAATATAATGTCTTATTTTGGAAGTAGAAATTAATTAGTTATGAATTTCAAAATAGCCAAACCGAAGAAAAATTTCTTGTTTACGATTTTCAAAACCACGAAGATATTACAAACGGTCCTTTAAATTTTTTAAAAATAAAATGTAAAATTTTTGAATGTACAATTTTTTTTTGGAAAATTAGGAAAATTAATAGAATTAGTAAAAACAGATTAGGAAAATTTGATTAGGAATTTTAACTTTAGGAAAAAAACTTGTAGGAATTTCTAAAATTAGGAATTTTAGATTAGGACAATTGGTAGGGAATCATTTGAAATCCTATATTACATTATACAAAACATAAAAAGTGAGATAAATTTAACAAATACAAATAAAATTTTCTATTAGAAACATATAAATTGTTTAACTTTAGTAAGTGAAATATTTATAACATTTATTTATGTAAATGACACTTAGGTATAGTTATTTATATAGATGAGTGTTCCACAAAGAAAAATGTTTCATTTTTATGTATAAAATTATTGCATTATATTTAAAAATTGTATTCAAAATTTAAAATTAAAAAATGAAGTACATAAATTTTTAAATTTGAATATAAAAATATTTATAACAATAAAAATTTGTTTAATAATTATTACAAACTTTATATATTGTAACGATATTTACCTTTACTTACGGGTTTTACCCGTTAATCGTTACAAAAATGGCAACTACCGGTTTTCCGGTTACCGAATTATAAATTCCACACTTCGAATTTATAATTTTCCATCGATGACCCGTTTTAGGGAACTTCCCCGGCGCCAGGTAGGTGAACTACCCGGATCACGATGGCAGAAACAAAACAGAGAACTTTCCCGGGCTAGCTCTAATCCGAGCTCACTATTTTATCTTTGCGAAATTGACTTTACATTTACAACACTCAGGCGTGAATACCGCACACAGAGGAGAGAGACAAACACAATGAATTAACACTTGAATTCAAGAAATTTGACTCGATAGATTCAATTAAACCATGAAACCAATCACTTTTATTTTTAATACAATAGACTAACTTTGAGAGAATGAGAACTTCCACACGCCGGTATACAATATTGACAACCGAAAATGGCGGCGTCGTTTCGGCTTGCCATGCGGTCTTTATTCCTGTTCCGATTTATTTGCCTCCGTACACCGGAGATAATATCTCGATAGCAAGGAAGATGAGTGCTGGATGCTAACCTTTAATCTGATCCAACACAGCTCGGTATTCCATTATTTTAATGATCTTTTTATATGACACTAATGATTAACCGCGGTGTCACCGTATATCAGAATCGGCAGCCAGGCACGAACTGTCGAAATTAGGTTACTTGGCTTCCTGCTTCTGGCCCGCATATAGGTCATGCGCAATATGGGTTCGCCCCTGCAGCATGATAACGGTCCCAACCTCTGTGACAGGTGATTGCCGGTTGACATTAGATTCGTGCCGATTAACATAAATTATTGGCCTATTTTCGGTTGGTTGATAATTAAATGATAATAAATAAATTCGTGTTTTATAGTCAACCAGAACGTGTGGAATTCTATTCAAATAATTAATCTGATCTTTGTACAACTCAACCTTTCAGTATCATTTTGATTCTATACAATTCAAAAATAATAATAAAGAAAAATGTTGAGTTCGATTCTGGCTGCCACGTTTAATTTATACTAATAAACTGTGAATTACTTGGATAAGTTTCGGCGAAAACTCAATCTGGGTCTTTATAACGTGATTATTTAAAAATCAACGTTACAACTCCCCTGGGCTTAGCCGAAACATATCTCTCAATTTCATTGGGCTTGCAGCCAGAATACCTCTTACCTGCCATCGAGAATTGTTATTACTAATTGAGAAACCCTTTAAAAAAAAAAACAAAAGAAAACTTAAACCTTTGTCGATCCGATTAGGTAATTGATGCTTTGAAACCAAACATAAAAAAGAAACTTATTACCTTATTACCTGCAGTGTCCTTTCTGCCTACCTGTAGTTAGGATTCGATGTCCTCCGGTCCCATTTAGTTACATCTAGTTTTATTAGGTTTCTCCAAGTTCCGGTAAAAGGATAGTTAGTGGGTTGGCGAACAAAATGAAGTGATTGACTTTAAGTTTGAAATTTAATAAGTACTTTAATCAAATTTTATTCCCTTGGCTCAATTGAATTCGATTAATGTGATTAATACAGGTTAATAACGTGAAACTAAAAATTTCCGAATAACAAAAAAAAACAAATGATCTATGTGCTATCAATCGAAGGTTATCGAAAACAATTGCTCTAAGCTAAGGGCGTAACAATAACAACCAAATTGGTGGATTCAAGAGAGAAAAAAAAATATAACGAAAAAACTAAATATTATCTTCAATATTGGTGGTGTGAAAAAAAAAAACGAAAAGCTAAATGATATTGTCAACATTGGTCCCCTAATCTTCCGTATTTTCGGTCTGGGTAGGGCAGTCGCCCTTGTTATGACCCCGTTGTTGGCACTTCTCACATCTCATCCTACGACTGGCAGTTTCGGTGAGGAGTGGAATACCGTTGAGAAGTTCGCAGAGTTTCTTCTCATGTTCTTTCCATACGGCATGGATCACCTCATCGTAGATTTGGGTGGCCATGTCAGTTGTTTCTTGTCGTAGACGAGTTCTATCCTCTTGCTCTTGTCTCATCCTCTCTTGTTTAGCCTGGGTTAGCCATTTTTGTCTGGCTGCCCATGCTATGTCAACCTCCTTTTGTCTCTTTTTGTCGATCTCTTTCTGGATTGCATCTTGTTGGGCTTTTGCTTTATCCTGTCTTGCTTCCCTCTTTCCTCTCTCCGCTGGGGTCTCTCGCCTCGATTTGCTCTCTTGTTCCCGAATATATTTAGGGGGGCGGTGTACCCCTGAGCGTAATCGGAATTCCTTCCAGGATTCGCCCATCCTGCGGTGGAAAATTACTTCTTCCGAAGCGGACTCCTCGGTTTGAGCGGTGGCGTCGTTGCCTCTCGGTTGAGAACCGTGTCGTGTGGTTCCTCCGGGTGTATGGGTTCTTCTCCCGTTTTCTTCGGTTTGAACCGTGCCGATTCTGTTCACCGGTGGCGTAGTGCGTGGGATAGCTCCTCTTGCTATAGCGATTCTTCTCTCATTCTCTTCGGTTTGAACCGTACCGATTCTGTTTAGCGGTTGCGAGTTTGGCCGTACTTCCCTCCCCGATTCGTGGATCCGTTCAATGCGGTTTGCAATCTGAGATAGATGGTCTTGTCTGGTGGTTGCACTCGGTCCCGTTGCCCCAGCTGGAAGCCATCCTTCGGGTAAATAGACGTCTGTCAACCGTAGCGGTCGTACATTGGCTATCGCTCGTGGCTCTCTTCTCGGTGTGGCTTCTAGTGTCGTCGTTTCCGCTTGTCTGAGGAGTCTTTCAATTTCGATGGCTATTTCTCGCTTCCGGTCTGCTTCTCGCCGCAATTTCTCTTCTTCTTCTGTAAGTAGGGTAAAACAATTTTTCGTTTGGTTCTTCTGACTAATCTATTATTTTTCTAATACCATCACCAATTCCGTGTCGATATTGTTTTACTAATCACTTTAAGCTACTATTTACATAATCATAATGAATAATTACATCATAAAACAAAAAAAAAAACTTATCTCAAGAAGGTATAGTTTCCGATTTTACCTTCTACCCCCCTCTACTTAGAATTCCTATAGGGGATCAAAAGTTTCACTGGGTACTTTCCCAAAGACCTACCCTCTTCTGTTGCTATTTCATAAACCGAAGGTCCTAAAATTTGTACTATTGTGAAAGGTCCCTGATTTTTCCCACCGAACGCTCGTGTTATTTTTTTGCTAGCGGATGAGGTTATTAGCTTTTTACACATGACTTTATCTCCTATGACAAATGTAGCGTGTCTGCGTCTTTTGTCATATTGTACTTTTTGTCTGTTAAACGCGTTGTCCATTTGTAAGGAGACCAAATCCTGTAATTCTTTTAACTTTTCTATCCGCTCTAACCATTCGTTTTCGTTCTCGGGTGTAAGGTCTACTTCGGTCTCTTCCGTTCGGTCGCGAAGGTTGTTGTACGGTTTGGGTTCTCTACCCAGGTTAAGGTATGCCGGACTAACGCCTGTACTTCCGTGTACTGCCGTGTTGTATGCGAATCTTAGGTCTTTAAGATAGACGTCCCATTTTCTGTGGTCTTTAGAAACGTATGCCGATATCATTGTTTTCACCACTCGGTTCACTCGTTCCACAGGGTCCGCCTGTGGGTGGTATACCGGGGTAAATGAATGTTTTATCCCATACGCTTCCGTTAACCCTTCAAATGCCTGATTAACATACTCGGTTCCGTTGTCCGATACCAGAAC